GCAACATGCAGGCTAAGAGACTACCCTGCTACAGCAGTATCTAGTATCTCTGCTGAGATAATGATCATATTACACACCACTATTAATTTGATAAAGATCTTTAGCTATGTGCCAGACCATCTTTGCCCACCCTTGTAAGGGGGTTCCTGCAATCACACATTCTTGTCCACAGTGTCAAGGTCCAGAATGTGGACCAACGGTAACACCATCACTGTTGTTCTTGAGGAGTGTAAATATGCATGATAATTAAATTCCCCCTCTCAAGACTAAATGAAGTGAAAACAATTCTTGAAATAAGTGATTACTGTAAGGAGCATCTGTAGATACAGTGTCCCAAGCAATTGCTTGCCACCCTTCTAGAATCCATTTCATAGATGCCATTTGAGGGATCATAAAACTCCAGAACACAACAAGTGTCCATCTACCCTAGAAAGGAGTTTAGTGTCCAAAGTCAAGCTGTTCACTGTAAGGAAACAACAAAATTCCAAACGTTCCCACAATGGTAACTTCTGACAGAACAAATAACAGTAATCTATGCCATTTCAAATTCCTCCTGCTACAAGGTCCTCCAGAATAAATGGTCTTCAGAAGTACACATCTTGGTTTTTAACCAGAACAGGCTGTTAAATGGACAGGGAGGCATGTAAGCTTAAGAGGAGAGCATCTACAAGACGAAGGTGAAAAGCTCTGGACAGAAAATGTCAGCAAGTTTATTTTTTTCAGAAGGGAAACTTGTTTCCCCCCAAGTGCCTCTTACAACACAAAAGGATCCCGTCTCCTTGGTTTTTCTAATTACTTTTTGCAGCTATGAGGAATGAAATGAAGCCAGCTTAAAGGTTAGGTTTTCACAAAGACACTGTTTGCTCCAAACCAACCAATTGTCTACATAAACTTCTTGTTCTGCTGAGTACTTATGAAACCTCTGGACCTTAAAAACCAGATCCTAAGGGACTGTGAGCACTACTGAAATGATGTCTCAGAGTATACAAAGGGCAGAATAGCCCTCATTAGCATCCACCTTTCCAGAGGCTGAATTCTCAGCAGTTCTCTCCAGGCCTCTTCAGTGTCAACCAAAAACCCTACTAGTTTGGTATTTCAGGTTTAAGTACAAGATCAATAACTAAGAAATTGGTAGACTCCTGTGTTATTAATAAACAACATTTACCCCTCCTGAATTGAGTGGAAGCTAGCAATATAGTACTCATTCACACTAGAGCTGTTTCCACCATGTTCTTGTTCCACTCACTCTCACTTCCTGTGATCATTACAGGTAAAGTAAATTGGCTCCAGCTCACGAAATCCCCATAATCCAAAATACCATAACTTGCTGGTTTTCAGTCTGATGAACACTGATTCTTCCTCTGTGGTGGTCCCCAAGCAAAACAAAGCCTGTGCTTTTCACAGGCTTTGCAGACCAAAAACCTAATTCACAGGCTTTTTCAAAGGCCAATGACTACTGCACTAAATAACTCATATATTTTACCACTTCTGTGTCTATTAGTATTAACATTTCTTCTGAATTTGCTTCTCAGCTCTATCACTTGTGTAAGCAGGATTAGAAAATCTGCTTGCTTTACAATTATGGCACAGCTTCTGCACAGAAGCACACTGCTCAACACTTCAGTCAGTACTGGCACACCCTATAGCAGGAGTGAGTCAGCCCAGCAGTAATGGGAGGCTGCACTACAAAATCACAGAGCCAGGCAGCATCCAGCCTTTGCTGATGTCACAGCTTGTCACAGTTAATCCATCCACACAACCAACCAGCGCGGTACATGCGCAAAAAGGATGGGAATGAATCTCTATGACTTAGGAATAAACTGCTTCAAATATGGAGAATGCATCAGCTGTTATTTACTGGAAATCACTGTCTCTTCTACAAGCCAGCCAAGAGGCTGTGCATTCAGCTGAATCTTTTATTTTTTTTAAAATACATAAAAATAGAATTTACTTTGATTTATACAGCATCTTAATAAGCGTCTTTGCTCTTTGAAATCAGCAGTATTTGAGCTTCACCTTGCAAAGCAGCTCACAAAATCCTTGCTGTGATCTGGCTGAAATTCACAGGCACAGAAGTGCAAGCAAACAATGGATGTTTTCAATCTGATGCTAATCACGGCCTATGATTTTCCATTTCTTACTCAGCCTGCTTTTGTGAGCATAGTCTCAACCCTTCTTTCAGCAGTGAGCGTGCTGTGTGTGAGGGGAAGAGAGAGGCAGACAAAGCACCAACAGCTTCCTGTGCTGAGGTGAGTTAGCCTCGGAAAATAACATTAGACTGTTCTGTCTCTTCTCCCCCCCCATATCCCTCTTCCCCTTTAAAACAAATTCCAGATGTAAAAGAGGAAACAGGCTATCGAAGTAATTTAGGCAAAGGCATATGCTATTTTAGTACTGGACTTCTATAGACATGTGAACATAGCCAATCAGATCACCTAGATATGGGTAATTCAGTGTTGTGAAACCTTGTGATCCCTTGTTCAGGTTTGTTACGTTCACATTCACTTGCAAAGGAACAATTAAATAATAAGGTGAAATAGCAGAAAATGCTTCCAGCTGATTCTTCACTACAAATTTAAAGGCTTTGCAAGTGACTGAAAGGTTCAGTCACTGTATGTGAGATGACTGATAGAGGATACCTTTCTGATTGAGTTTATCGTATGAATCAGATTTCCTTCTGCATAACACTTGGCTACAAGTAATATGTTCATTGTGGTTTGATGCTGCCCTTGATGATGGAACTCCAAATAATGTCACCTATACGCAAAAGTTTTGAAATGGGGTGGCAGGGATTTTTCATCAATAATGAAGACTAAAGATGTGCAAGGAAGAGAAACCAAATGCTAAAACTAGCTCACTTTAAGCATGTAACTCCTTTTGGCACTGCCTGGGAAAGCTGTCACTGAACTTTTCTTCTCCAGCAGTGACAGAACAGTTCTCTGTATGCATCCAGCATTCTAATTCAAGTACACACAATACTGCACCTTCTGAAATGAGACTCCATGGTACATATTTGACTAACTGTTTTCATTTCACAGTTCTGGTATTATTACTCCTTCATGTTCATATCTTTATTTACTGTTTGTGCTCCATCTATTATTTTGCCTGCTAGCTGTATGAGAAAGTACACAGTCCAAAAGTATGTGACCCCAACTGTATCACAGAACATAGCTTATTTACTGTTGTATAAATCATAATACTGAGGGAATAACTACCCTCCCTGCTGCCAAATATGCAACAAGAACCAAATTTAGCAATGCTTTACTTAGTGTGCTCTTGCAAGCACTTTGGTTTCTCATGCACATACTGTAACTGGACCTGAAATTTTGCATTAATGCACAATGTGTTACTTTTACCAGGATTTTAACTTTTTCCATCTCATGTTCTCAAAACTTGTTTTCACTTGTCAAGATATGTACTAAGGAGCATGTAATGGACATGGACCTTGTCTAAGAAAAACATGGAGGTAAATATTGAAGGTGTGAAGACTTGCAGCTAGATTTCTCAGCTGATGTATACAGATAGCACACGGTGTCTGATGAAGTCAAGCACCTGCTGGACCTATTTGCATATCAGATATAGTTTCAGGTGTATCTTTCTGTAACAATCCTTGATCCCCCATGGGCAACTTTATATCTAACTTGAATATATCACTTGTTTTCAAAATTATACTGAGTTTATTTTCCAACTTTCTAGTGTTTAGTAACTTCTGATGGTGAAAAGGCACAATGAATATGCCTTCCATGTCTTGTTCTAAATCCTGAATAATTTTTGTGATGACTGGTTTCTGAGTATTACTGACAACCAACCACTATAAGCCAATCTGGAAAGAGCAGCTTTTAAATGGCATGCCAGTGTCTGCTCTTCACTCTTGGATATAGATATAATAAACCTCTTATAATTAAGGAGTTAAAACTAGCCAGTTGGATTTATAGACAGTTTTCTCTGAGATGCAAACCTACAAGTCTGTACAAATTGAGATCTGATAATTCTATTTGAAACCTGGGTTTGATGTTACAAGTTAGACTAGTGGTGTATTATTAAATATAGTATGATAGCTCTTACATTCCATGATCTTTATGTTCATGTATTACCCTTTTTCCTTCATTCTTCCCCCATCCTAAAAATCTTTCATTAATATGAAAGATATCTCCCCTTTCAATATAAAGATGCATTACACTCTGTGTTTATGAAATATGAAAATTTACTTCACAATGCAGTAAGAAATCATCTGTTTTCTTTGCACCCAGAAATGGGTTTTCAATATCCAGTTAAGATTAGACAAAATTTCAACGAATGAGTGAACAAGCTTCAGAATTCTAGAGAGACCATCCTTGCTACATTAAATTTCCCTCTAAGATATACAAATATCAGTAGAAACATTCTTCTTCATCAAGCAGGCTTTGTTTCTACAGGTCTGGCTATTTGGGGATGAAACAGGCAGGATTTTTTAAAAGGCAGGAAAGCTCAGACATTTTACACTCAGTGCCAGCTGATTTATGTAAATTCTTCCTATGATATAAGATTCATCAGTTAGACCCCCCTCATGATTTATTTTAATAAAAATCCTTTTTCAAAGGACAAATCTCGATTGACCATTGACAATGAAGCACTAAGTGTATTGACAGTTCCACACATTTCCTGCCCTAATCTCATTTAACACATTAAGAGTATTTTTTCATCTAATTGAATTAAGTATATAAAACCCCTGATACTGTTTAAAAAGCTGCGTCAGAACTGCAATTCTATCTGAACTCCACACAGTGTAACAACATCTATTAAAGCAGAATAGCAGAGATGAGTAAGAAGTCAGAGGTTACCAGCTTCTGTAATGCAATGACTGAAAGTTTATCTTTTACCTGTGATTACACTCTACAGGACAAAGATTTTTCCAGTGCTAGTGTTTATTTATATTATCTCACTGTAAACATTATGAGAGCAATACCCAATTGGCAAGGCCCACACTACATCATGATACAATTTCTAATCTACTCTTACAGAAAGCTGTGATCCTGAGGTACTGTGCTACTGGGTGCTGATAAAAAGCTGTTGTGGAACTACTGCAGCTACTTTGTGCCTTTGGTAAGTGCTAATCCATTGGTTTTGTAGTGGGAAGTAGAAAGGGGCTTGCATGCTGAATGACGGCCTTCCTCAATTTTGAATATACAAATTTGCATTCACCTACAACAGGAACTACAGATTTTTTCATTTAAAAAAATCAATAACATGACTCTCTGCATGTATATATATAAAAATAATTTTCAGCTGCCCCAGTCATTTCTCACAGCTACAGAAGGAACGTTTGATGCAGTGCATAGGGGATTGGAAGGGAGTGGATGCTTACTTTCAGTACACCCATCTTTCCTATTAAATTGCAACCAAATGGGTCCTTTTTAGGCGCATCACCTGGTTGCTATGATATAAAGGTAAATTACAGAGTAACTGAGGCTCGAGGGCACTTTAAACAATGCAGGCATTAGGCTTGAGCGTTTTTAATTCACTGAATTTTTGAACTTCAAACACTTGCACAGAAAGAAGAACATGGTTATTGCATTTGGACTATGTACTATTGAAGATTTGATGATTCTGTGATTCTAAGATTAACCATCCATATGTGACTAATTTCGCATTAACTTTTTTAATAGTTAGATTACCAGTTATGAATTACACACAGCAATGCCATGAATTTTTCTGAAATATCTGGAAATCCTCAAGTAAATGTGTCAACAGAGTCAAATACATTTTATATCTTTACATCATTTATTTCATAAGTACTTCTGTTCAATTCTGCTCTTAACCCTTTACAGTTTTTAAACCAATTGAAACTGTGCATCTCTTCATAAATAGTAAGTCACACAAAGGAAAATCACCTGTAAACTCAAAATTACTGGTTCATCATTGTTCTTTCCTACTGTAGTTCCTATTCTTAGAGACAGGCGTTTCATTGTAGTACCTATTTTGGCCAGTTACCACTGTTCCACAACTCAGCAGCTGACAAGGAAGGACAGCACTTTTAGAACTGAGTCCTTTCTGTTAGTGTCAGTAGAATTCAACCAGGATGCCAGAACCAGCCCACTCAGAATTATTGCTGGACTGAAGCCTTGATGAATGACTTCATGTAATGGAGTATGACCTCTCATCTCCACAATCCACTAACGAACCTTCTGTTGTCACTGTATTTGTATGTTAAGTAAAAGCTGTTCATCATAAAACACAGTTCTGTCAAAATTATGTAATTTTCAAAATTTCTACAGAGATAGCTTCATTTTGTCTCTTTTTTCCTGTGTGGAACTGTCCTGTCCAGAGATATTTAGCCTCACTGCTACTGTCCCGTACTGAAAAAAAATATTCAAAATTATTATTTGAAGTTTCTTTCTTTTAGATTTAAGAAAAAACTGTTATTTTTAGGCTAGCTTGAAGCAAAACAAAATTACAACTTTATATGGAAGGGGTAAAGTGATAATGATACAATAATATCCTCCTTTATCTTAGGAGCCTGATATGGGGAAAAGTGCTATTGGAGAAAAATGCAGAAAAGTCTCTGTCAACAAAATTGTTAAATTGGGAAAACCCCAATTATTCTGCAAATTCCAAGACTGCAAATACCAGAAGTAACAGAGTTTCCAAATAGTGGACACACTGAAAAGGAGAACAAACTTACTTAGTTTGTTGGTTTGCCTTAGTACCGGGGCAGACGGCACATACATTTTAGGAGGTTGCAAGACAGTTCTAAGAATTAGACAATAAAATGGATGAAAGGATGAATTTGAGAGACTTGAGTTTAAGTCACTTTATTTTTAATGAAGTAATATTGCAAGGCTAAAATCAAATTAACAGAAGCAGTGAAATCTTCAATTCTGTAGAGCACAAATCAAAGAAACACACTATCTTTGTAACCATTGTGTAAAATTCATTATGCAGATAAGGTGTATTACTGCATCGCAGTTTTAATAAGGGGTACTTTATCAAAGGGGAAAGGGATAGGAATGGTTGACAAGGCCTTCCATTACAAAGAAGCAAGAAACAGGATTTTAGCAAGACTGAAATTACCTTTAGATTTTGGGTTTAGAAAATCACAACTACTACCACCAAGTCTAAGTTCCTGGCAGTAGCCAGTAGTTTTAAGAATCCATGACCAGCTTAACATCACAGAAGTGAGATGTAAGATGCTTCCCTTTCTATTCCTCCCTCATCTAAGTTTTGACTTTCATTTACACAATTTTTATGTTTCCTTCTTACTTTGAAAGAGCAGCAAACAACTTTTTGCACAGGGACAAAAGACAATGCTGGAAAGTGGCCCTCACTAGTCATGGTTGTGTGCCAGCAATACAGTCTTTTTGTGGCATTGCAACTACCATCTCAGATTCTTTCTGCATGCCAGCTCGTGTTCTTCCTTGGCTGAGAAATAGACACATGTCCTCATCCCTTAGCTTGTACAGCTTGAATACAGCTCATACAAGTCATGGCCTTGTGCCCAACCTGTTAATCTGCACTGCTTAGTAACCTATCACCTATTACCTATCACCTTTGTCAAGGGGAGGAGATGGATGTTTATTTATCACTTGGATAGGTCTGCACTTACACAAAGATCTAAGATAACCGAGAGGGAACTTGGTCATTTATATACCTCACAAGAATGAAGTAGACTTTCAACAGAAGTATATCTTTGTCCTGCTGATCTGCCTACATTATACAGTCTTTGGTTTACACAGAAGCAAAAAATATTGTGATCTGAATGTGCTGACATGTAGAAACAGAACTCTGACCTCCAGCTCTCTCATCCTACGCACTGAGCAGAGCAGGACTTAATCCAGCCTGCAAAGGACATAATTCTCAAGCAAGACGGATGTTCTATTCATACATCTTGAACAAGTAAAATCAAAAGCTAATGTTACATGAGGATGCAAAAACCAAATCAAATCTCGTATGAGAAGTAGCTTCAAAGGTCAGAGATGTGCTAGCCTGAACTCAGCACAATTTTTGGATCACCGCTAGTTAATTAATAATCTTATGCATTATTTAAACTCAAATCCTCAGCTAGTGCGACATATATATCCAGCTTTACAAAGTGATACAAGTGACAACACACGACCAAACAGCAAGCTCAAGATTCCAAAACTACCCATTCTTACCTTGAGGAATATTTAGCTAATAATTATCCTTTATGCAAATAGAGAAATGTCTGGCTGAAGACTTCCATTCATTCCAACGTGCAAAAACAGAGCTGGTACGTTCCTGTCTTAAAAGCTATCCAGGTAAGAGATTTGTCTCTCTTCCTGTGCCTCTGAATTCAGGTTAATTTGTTCTTTGCCTGTTTTCAAAGGTGCAAAATTGCCTCTTTTCACTTATTTGCTCATGCTATTGTTTCTTGGTTTATCATTATGTTGTTGTTCGTAAGTATTGCTTATAAGGCAGACACTGAGCAAACGTCTGTAAAACATATAGTCAGCTGTAAATGGTACAGCAATTATCTTTCCTGAAACTCTCAACCAGGAGTTCAACCATTTGGTTAGTTTTTATTTTGATTTAAGAAAATGGCATATACTAGGCTTATCTGTTTCTTAAAGTACTACATTGATATTGAAACTGAGAGCACTTTCTTAGGGATTAAGTACAGTCTTTCCCAAAAAAAGAGTGTTTCCAAAATACTATCTTTATAGTGTGTAGTAAACACAAGATGCCACAGAAAACAACAAGAAAAACCATGAGAATGGACTATCAATTTGGTTTTCTCTGTGACAGCTTAGTATGGCTAAACAATGCCCAGAGAAATCACAGGGCAGAAAACAGAGCTTAGTATTCAACTTTATGAATGATGACCAGGGTCCTGAAAAGCTATTTTGAAAGACTTTTTATTTAAATAACAGACTTTCACTTTGAAACAGCTACTTTCTCAAAAACAAGAAATCAGATTTTCAGTAATGTTTTCTGAATCCACAGGAAATGCTTTTTTAGTGGTCATGTCCTAGGACTCTCCGGCAGAATAATGCTGTCTTGCCTTCAAGAGCATGTCAATAGTTAGACCAGCATGTTCTGGAATCCTTGAACAAAATCTGTCTCTGCAGAGAGAGTTAAACTCTCTGCAAAGAGAGTCAAATACTCTGCAAAGAGTTAAACTACTTGATTTGTATTTGCATGTATGATCGTTCCCAAAGATGATCTTGATGGGCTAGCCTTAAGAACAGCTGCTGGCTGACTGTATGTATGGAACTCATACTCATGCTCCAGCCCGCTTATCAGTTCTAGGATTGTTACCTGTCAGTGGCTGTCAACTTACTCACTGGAATATGGAACCGAGAATCCTTGGGAAAACAAGACTTGAATCACAGCTGCTGGTGAATGCAGGCACTCAATAAAGAGATAACTTGCCTGGAAAATCCTAAACCAATTTACAATTGGAAATAAAAATTGTGAATTGAAGATTTTAATTTGAAATACACAAATCTAAAAGACTCTCAGAATAAAACTCTCCTTAGTACAGCAATTTAATTTGTAGAGGACGTGATCTGGCTTTCATGACTTGTAGAAACCACTAAGCTGGAATCCTATTTCCTCTTTCACATTTGATTTAGTGTAACACTGAAACTCAACATAAAAATGCTTTGAAGCAACAATATTTTATCCCAACACAGTGAAAAAACTAACCTAGCCTATCAAGTTTCACATGATTTTCCTAAAAGGCATTGCCATGTTCCGTGCCTGTAGTCTGACAACTTGCTAGGTCAGTGTATAAAAAAATGGTTTTGGTTGCTGGCACCTTGCTTAACTCTGCTTCCAAGTACATCTTAGTTCTAAAGACAAAAATACAATAGCTATTGCAAGATAGAAAGAAATATTCATCTCACTTGTTCTGTTTTAGCACCTCATGACTTCTAAAACTTTTAGGTTATGTTGACATATCTAAGCAACCCTGCAAACAAAAGCAGATTAATAAATCAAAGCAGTAGGTGCTAAAGCAGTATTGCCTTATAGTACATGCAGCTCAGGGTACTTTATTTCAGACCAGTCAGTCCTCACAAACTAAATGTACTCCCCACATCTGTTCAAATATGTCCAAAGCACCAATTGCTGGCTTAGGTTTTTATGCCACCATAAAGGGTCAAAGAGCACTGGGGCATAGTTTCTAGGTACCTTCCTCTGAAAAAAACCCCAGTTTGCAAGAATAACACACTCCTGTACATTCAATCTATGCACTGTGAGACTAACCAAGGAGCTTTTTCAAAATTGTGTCATTGCTCAAAACCAGAACAGTAATGTAATCATAGCCATTAGAGCCAAGAAAGGTTTCTGTGAGACAGAAAAGGTTTCTGATATGAAAGATGAGCAATTTGAACAATTTAATTTGTTTCAACATCTGTGTTTCCAATCAAATGTTTAATGAGACTGATGTCTCTGATGTTTTTTAGTGAGTTAAGCAACAAATAAATTCAAAATCCACACTAACCATATTAGTGAACTTTTAGTGAACTTTTCATAGTTCTAATGTGAAGAAAACAGCAAGCATCACTTGGCTCAAACTCTTTAAATGGCTCTATCATAACTTAAACTTGAAATCACTATTTCAGCAAGAAAGCAATTTCACTGCAGAGCTGTGATACCATCTGACTTCTGCCCTAAATAAAGCATTTAAAATATCTCAGCAGAGGGAGACAGGCTCACCCTTGCTACTTCTTCTGGGCTTTTTAGAGATACAGCTTCAGACTTTTTGGTGGACAGTCAGGATGGGGAGGCAAAAGGATGCAAAAGAATAAAGATTTTGGGGGTTGTGCTGTTTCACAAAGAACAATTCGTTCATTCAGAATGGTGATACAGGCAGCAGCATGAAGAATCTGCGAAGAGAAATTCCACATGAACATATTGTGATGAATGTTTCTTCCCCTAAAGAGACATTTTGTGTAGGTCACAGGCATGATGGAAAGACAGGAAGAACGGGACTAAGGCAAGTTGGAAAGTCAGCAGTTTGTTTGGCTTGAATGGCTCCTTCCCTTGTTTCTCTTTTTCACAAAATAAAATGAGTCAGTGCATTTAACCTGAAAGAATAAATGGTTCAGACAAGGTTCTGCTGAATTATGTTTGCTTATATGGTCAAGGGAAACTTGAAAAAATTTCAATGTGAAGATTCCAAACATAAAAGTACAATTAAAAAAAAACAAAACTACTTCCTGTTGTAATTATGTGAATGTTACACATGTACGTGAATGTGCACACAAGTAACCTTTCACTTGTTTTAAACAGTTGTTCCAATACTTAAGTCAAATGCAACAAACTAATGTGTTTTATGCTATGTGCTGCTTCATCTGTGCAGCCCTGTTAAGAACAGCTCTTTCAGCAAATGATGACTTGAACAAAATGCAAACATTATGCTCTGTGGAGCTCTGGAGGAAGAAAGGGAGGAACAGTGGGTTTCCATTTGTTAGTGTAACCTAAGCCGTAAATGGGTCATTTGGTGAACTAGTAACCTGACCCCGCTAGGGCTCCTGCATACTGCTAAAGTATTACCACTTTGGAGGATGGTGTTGTCTCAGTGCCAGAAGCAGAAGGCTGGAGTCTGCTCATGTGCACAACAGCAGACAGATCTCCTCTCCTCCATTCTGTCTTTGGAGATAGCAAGAACGCTGGAAGCTCCAAGCTCTGTTAGGCTGTGTAAGGGGATAGCACACATCTGGGGTGGAATCGCATTTCCTTCAGGTGAAGCAATGAATTACAGGCGTCACAGCCTGACAATTATTGGGTTACACAGCTAAGAATGGGTTGTTGATAACAATGCCCCTTCCCTTATTTGGTGTGGCTTTACGGCATTCTAAAAGCAACAAGGAAACTTTAAATATTAACAGCGTCTGCATACCAATCTAGGTTGAGAGCTGACTGCTTAATAGCTACCATGTTAATTTGACATGGAATTTGAAAGCATATATAGCAGAATAAACAGTAACTTACATGAAGGAAATCCTTATATTCAAGAAAAAAAAAAAAACAAACCTGAAGAAAATTATTTCCGGTCAGTTTCAACACAGAAGAGACATACTTTACTGTACTATCTTTTTTTGGGAGGAGTGTGGGGAGGCAGGGAGGCTTAGTTGTTTTTTACAAAAAGCTATTATTTTGATTATCCAGTAAGCCAGTATAGCTAGTATATATATTACTAAACTATTATTCAAACACAAGATCTCTTAATAGATTTCCAAAGAAATTATGCTCCAATCATCTTATGTATTAAAAATCACTACTATCCCTCAGGGAGTTGCACAAACAATACACACATCTGAATTGTAATGGGGTTTTTTGGTAAATAGCAAATTACTTCCAGGTAAATTGTATGAGATCAGAGAACAGCAACTATGCTATTAAATATATGAGCCTAGTGTACAGAAGCTGATGCAATCTCTTTGATGCAGCCTATAAAAAGCACTCATTGGATATTGCACTGCCCAGTAGCTTTTAAGTATGTAGAGCAAGGGCACAATATTTATTTCCTGGCTGGCTGAATTCACTTGGCTGTAAGAAGTGAGTGGCATTTGAATAAAGACTTGCTGTCCTCATGCACAATTCTCTCAGTCTCCAAACTAATTTAGGTAAGACAGGAAGTATTGGGATTTTGCCTTTTAAAATGAGTGTCTTTATTAAACTTGCTAGCATTCTGTATTTGGTAAACTTTATTCATATGCTCTCACCTGGTGCTGCAACTTCATTTATCTTTTCCGTCACCTTTGCATTCTAACAGAGACTAGATCCAATCTATTTTCCTGTCCAAGCAGATCTTGAGTAGCATAACTATGCAGTTTATTAGGGTCTAAAGCAAACTTAGCACTGATAAAAAAAATAGACATGGATCTTTATAAATAATAACATTAAATTGCAATTAGTGTTCCCTTTTGATGGAAATAAACCTTACTTACGCACACAAAGAAATGTATATAATGGGAGCTGAAAATGGGTTTATGTAATTGGGATGGATAAAAATCTACTGATTTTTTAAAATATATTTGTTTAGACTAGTATGCAGGTCCTTTTCAACTTGGACAATCAGTCCACACAATTCTCACAAGAATCTCTGCTCTGCCTTTTACCACATTATAAATTACCTATAACACTTGAAAATGCTGCTTTGAATTGTCGTTAAACTTTGAATAGCCTTTGAAATCATGCTGTATCACTTATCTGTATGCTGTATCATAATACCTGGGAACTTGTTTTAAAGTTCTGCACTAGTTACAGACACATATCTTCTTACTTTCAATCTGGTGGCAAAACACAGTTATTAAAATCTTGAAAACTCTTTCTAAGCAGGATAGACAAAAGACTTTCTAGTAAGCCACTCTCTATTTGGACTGTTCCAGGTCAAAAGCTTACAGGCTATTGATAATCTGCTCTTTTGCTTTTAAATTATGTTTCCAGGTTGGATTCATTAATGCTTTTTTTAAATTCAGAATTTTACACCTTAACAGGCTGTGACCAAACATTAACAAATCAAAATGTTCTTCTTAACAACAAAAAAATCCTATGAAATTTACAGAGAATTCTGTCAGTAGCACCTAAACTGTGTATTAACTGCTAAAACTGATAAAATTTACCAACAGAATACTGTGCCAGTAAGTTAACTTCAAGTTTTATGAAACTGATGGGTACAGAGTCTGCCTCTAAACACTGGAAGAGGAAAGGAACAGCTTTTACTTTTAAGACAAGCTTTGACTCTATTGCAGTGCCACTCCTGGCACCAAACAGCTCTGATGCAGAGATCCTGGCTGTTAATGTCGAGTTTGGTGAAAACAGTGGTGTCCATTGAGGCAAGAGACATCAAAAGCACCCCCATCAGAGGAATACAAATAATCTCATCCATCAGATATTAGAAAACAATTAGGAGAATCATAGGAAACACTGCTGTGTTTGTTCTGCTGTACATATAATTATTTGTTATATCTCATTATTGGGATAACGAAGTTGAGTAACTATGGGTTTAAACCTGAAAATAATAGCATGTAGCACTCTTCCAACGTGGTAATGTCATGATGATCGGTCCATATGTTGCCAATATGGTGGTATTTGTGAGTAGATATTTATTACCAGAAGCTGCATATCAAAACAATCCAGAATCTACAAACAAGTTCATGTTACATAGCAGGTACAGAGCCCATCAATGGTTTATGAACATATCTTTTGTGTATGACTAAACTGTTGCTCTCCAGAAAACTCTGCTTTACAGGTCCTACCAGAAACATTTTTCTCCGCTGCGCTGATGATAACTGCAGTGACAGATCATTATACCCCATGAGAGTTATTAATCAATGACTACAAGACGTACTCGCTATACAAAAACATTACAGCCTACCTCACTAATGCATGTTTATTGCACACCATCAAGTCCTGCCTCTGGTCAAAAAGACCTTTATGACAGAACATTTAGAATAGATGACAGAAATCTTTGTCATACAAAAAAATGACTAATTTAACCCCATTTTTGTTTATTAGAACAAACGGGATTCAATCGAAAGTACTCCTTAATGTGTGCAAGAAAGGGCAGATTAATTTTTTAGCCTTATGCATCACTGGAGCCCTGTGAGAGTTTTGTTGGGATGATGCTTCCTTAAGAGCAAAATCAGGTGACAAACTTTTAGAGTTAAGGAACTGTGCTAAAAAAACCTTCACGAATTGCAGCCTGATGGATATTTTCTTCACTTTGCAGGAACACATAAATGAAGTAAACACTGGGAAAATGGAAAGACCACTTGAGGCTACCAGAATGGAAAACACTTCACCCTGCTTTCTCATGGAAAGAAAGACTCATGTCAAGACTAACTGGAAAGAAGTCATGCTAGCTAAGATGAGAAAGAGCTGCACCTGCACACCACAGAAGCTGAAGAACTTTCTTATGGACTTCTTTCCCGTTTTACGGTGGCTTCCCAAGTACCGATGCAAAGAATACATTTGGGGGGATGTTATGTCTGGGTTAGTGATTGGGATCATTTTGGTGCCTCAAGCAATTGCATATTCACTGTTGGCAGGTCTGAAGCCCATTTATAGCCTCTACACATCATTCTTTGCCAACATCATCTATTTCTTAATGGGCACATCCCGTCATGTCTCAGTTGGCATTTTCAGCTTGATAAGCTTAATGGTGGGACAAGTTGTGGACCGAGAACTTCTCTTGGCTGGATTTGACTTGAATGATGATGCCTCACCAGCCTCGGGTGATGGCTCACTGCAGAATGACAATCTGTCCAACACAACTGCCTTCAACCTTACCATTGTGGGGATAAATGCCGAGTGTGGGAAAGAGTGCTACGCTATTGGCATTGCTACAGCCTTGACATTCATGGCTGGAGTGTATCAGGTAAGTGGTTGCTGACATCCAGAGGCAAGGTATGAAGCTCCTAAAGCTTTTTTGCATGACCTAAGCTTTGACTGTCTTTCAATGAGATACATCATCAGTTAACTTGAATGTACCTTGGACATATTTTCTCCAGGAAGCCTAAGTGTAGGCAACTCAGAGACAGCATAAGGCATGCAGTTTTCTTAGTTGCTAGCAAACACAGGTAAAACAAGAGTCTTTGGAAAAAACATTAACATTGTTTTGATATTCTTCTGCTTCTTGGCCTTGTTCCTTTCATGGGACAATGAGGCCCAATACAGATGTAGGAAATTCCCATGCAGCTTTGACCTTAACAATGAAGAAACATCTCTCTTTCCCTTAATATTTTAATAGAGGTGTACACCTACTCAACTACTTCTACATGTTCAGAATATGCAGTTCAGTGTTTTGAAAGGGGGTGCTAACTGCTGTCCTAAAGATAATTTTTTTAAAAAACGAGAAATAGACTGACTAACCTACTTTTTAGAAAATGGTTGTGCTTGACACTTATCAACATGCTGCCATCACAAGGATATCAAGAGAGCACAGAGGGAAGCATCATGAACATACTTATCTATTAACTCTGTGTGTGTATATATGTGTGTGTGTGTGTATGTATGTATGAATGCAGAAAGAGCTAGCTATCTCCCTGTTGTAGTAAGAAATTTCAGGTTACATATATGAACAAAAAATCCCCTTGTGAAGCTGGGTTCTTCAAAGCCACCTAAGGAAGGAGAATCAACTAGTTAAGGAAAGAACTGTGGACTTTGTGGGCTGTTCTGCCATTTCTGATCTTACGCATGCCACAAAGGCCATCTGTGCTCCATTCTTCCCTCTGTCCACAGGGCTAAAATTAAAAGCTCTTTAATACAAAAGCTAAAGAAGGAATCTTATTTGTTGTCACTCAAGTTTTGTTTACACAGAATAGGCCATACATTTTAACTTTATTCACTTTAAGACAGAAAAAAATGAAAATTGACTTTGGTATTACAGAAGTATTTTGGACCCACTCTTCTTTTGCATGTGGAATAAAAATCAGGCAAGCCAATTCAGTGAGTCACTTCAGACATATGTTCCACTGACCACCCTGTCTCAAACTCCTCATTCACCTCTTGGGTTTGTAGATTCCACAACAGTAAAAGGAATCACGTTTTAAAACAGACTGGAAACAAAAAATGATAATTCCTGTTTCAAGAAATAGCCATTAGCCAATATTGGCTTTCAGCTAGTTCTCCCCCAACTGAACCTAATTATTTGCAGTAATGGTTACAGCTCATGGTTTGTTTTATTTTTCCTCTTCTGTTTCCTCAGGTTCTAATGGGGATCTTCCGTCTGGGTTTCGTATCTATGTACCTATCTGAGTCCGTACTAGATGGCTTTGCAACTGGTGCTTCCTTAACCATTTTAACAGCTCAAGTGAAGTATCTGATTGGAATAAAAATTCCACGTAGCCAAGGGCACGGGATGCTTGTTATTACTTGGATTAACATTTTCCGGAACATTTCTCAGGCTAACCTTTGTGATGTCATCACAAGTGCCATTTGTATTGTAGTGCTGGTCACTGCTAAGGAACTCGGAGATAGGTATAAGCATAAACTGAAATTTCCTCTTCCCACAGAGCTGGTAGTTATTGTTGTGGCAACATTAGTGTCACACTATGGTAAGCTAAATGAAGTGTATGCATCCAGTGTTTCTGGAGCTATTCCAACAGGATTTATCCCTCCAAAGGTACCAGAGTTCAACTTAATGCTCCGAGTTGCTCTAGATGCTTTGCCTCTTGCCATAGTCAGTTTTGTCTTCACTGTATCCCTTTCTGAAATGTTTGCAAAGAAATATGCTTACACCATCCGAGCCAATCAGGAAATGTTTGCTGTGGGGTTCTGCAACATCATTCCTTCTTTCTTCCACTCTTTTGCAACCAGTGCAGCTCTGGCAAAAACACTCGTCAAAACATCTACAGGCTGCCAGACTCAAATCTCTGGAGTAATTAGTGCAATGGTGGTTTTGTTGGTGCTGCTCTTCCTGGCACCTCTCTTCTACTCCTTGCAGAAGTGTGTCCTGGCTTGTATTATCATTGTCAGCCTTCGGGGAGCCCTGAGGAAGTTCCGAGATGTGCCAGCACGGTACCATGTGAATAAGGTGGACACACTTGTTTGGGTAGTTACCATGTCTGCCTCTGCCTTGGTCAGCACAGAAATAGGGCTGTTGGTTGGCATTGTTTTCTCCATGTTATGCATCATTGTTCGGACCCAGCGGCCACGGACAGCCCTTCTTGCTCAGATCCAAGACACAAGCTTTTATGAGGATGATTTAGAATATGAAAATCTCTCTACTGTTCCAAAGGTCAAAATATTTCGGTTTGAGGCCCCACTTTACTATGCAAATAGAAATTACTTCCTGAAGTCTCTATACAGATTGACCAATTTAGATCCTAACCTAGAAGCTGCTAGGAGGAAGAAATATGAGAAGAAAGAAAAGCAGCATCTGAAAAAGGGAAATCACGGAACTCCTAATGGACTGGGCATCGGAGAAACCACTTTGCAACTAGTTCCTAAGCAAATTGAGTTCCAAGCCCTTGTTGTAGATTGCTCTTCCATCTCATTTTTGGACACCACTGGAGTTAATACTTTAAAGGAAATCCTGAAAGACTACAAGAATTTAAACATTTCTGTTCTCTTGGCTTGCTGCAATCCCTCAGTGATAGACTCTCTGAAAAGGGGAGGTTACTTTGGAAAGGATTTTGGATGTATGCAGGAAATGGTATTCTACAGTATACATAATGCTGTGCTGTTTGCAAAAGACCAAAAGCTTCCAGCAGATTGTTCAGTTTAACCCTGTGTCTTCTGGGATGATTCACTACAAAGTGACAGATGGAGAGGGGTAGTTTGCAACAAGTAAATTATCAGACACACTGTTGGCTTTGTAAAGTCATTCCCCACAAAGTGTTCCACTTTATATCATATGCCACAAAGAGCAGCCACTGGGGAGGCAGCCCAGGACACGCATGGAAAGGTTAGATTCCCACCTTCACTTTAAAATGCAGGCAAAGGCAGTTTGGATTAACTTGTCCACGATACCATGATCATTTGTGACCCAGCATGGATGTCAGGGAATTGTTGTGGTGGAAGGCCTGCTCTCCCAGTTGCTCTCCCAATGATTTAATGGCTGGTTTGTATTAAGAAGGCCACTTCCATCAAGATGCAATCAATATGGCATTCTGGACACATAATGGTTTAAACTGTGGCTTGCAAGGCCCTGCCCCTTCCAATCATTCTAGGTGTACACCTAAACAAGTCCCCACTGTTAGCATAAAAATAAAATGTATAAAATACTGTGGAATGTTGAATATCTCTCCTCCTTGATCACACAAGCCTAACAGCGTAACCTGCCACAGGAGAAGAAAACATGATCCATTTCAGGTTCCTCTCAAAATTACCATTTCCAAAAATTTCTGGCTTTGGAGTCACAGGACTCATCTGTTCTACTGGATTAAATCTGTCATAATTAGTTACTGTAATACCCCTAATTATGCTGGAATAAATATGACTCTGATGCACAACTTTTTAACTAGTAAAAGGATAAACAGGATTAAGAAAAATGAATGGCTTCAACTGGCAGCTACCTAGCTAGTTGTACCACCCTGTAAAGTAAGTTGCCTCTGGTGGGCAGATGCAACTCTAATTCAGGGATACATAAGGACCATCAAACATAAAACCTCAGAGCTGTGTTGCAGCACATCACTATCTTCCTACAAATGCCTGCCTGGGTTCAAAGAAAAACAAGAGAAAATAAGGGTAGGGTGGGAAGGTAAATCTGTGAGTTTTCTTTAAGGGGATTGATAGATCAGTCAGAACTGCCTGGCTGGTCTTCTCTGATGCAATGCTAATAAAGTATTACAAGTAACATACATGGGTCAAGTAAATGGAGCAATGCTTCGTAACTTGTGTATCCCTCCATGCTGAAAAACTTTCACCACTGATTGTACATACTACAGATGTTGTGTGGATTTTGTTTGTTTGGCATATTTTTCCTATCATATTAATCTTTGATTTGAGGTCTACTAGACTGTATTTTCTGGGACTGGTTACTTTCTATAATAATTTGCATTAACTGCTGTTCATTATGCTTTATGTCATCAATTGTATTGCTGTATATGCATATCTCTCTTCACAAATAAGAATATACTTGGGTTTTGACTGTAATGCAGTATTCACTGTTCTGGCCCATGGCATGGGCAGAATGTTCTGTTTCATACTCAAGTTTATAATTACCTGCACAGAAGGTAAGACAGCTGTGCTCGCTCTCTCTCCTTTTTCATGTCAGGTTCAGACATAACCAAGCATGGAAGGAAATTCTATCACAGCTGTATCTCACAACTAACAGACTCTAGAAACATGTTCCATATATGTAGAAGCCATTTCTTGTCCCATTAAAAAAAAAAAAAAAAGTGAAGTCAACACATCATATGACTTGTTCATTTCAACTTTTTAGGTCACTGAATGAAAGAATAAACAAACTGAGATTCTCCAAGTGTCCCAGAGCCTGTCTGGCTCTCAGAAACAAGTATTTTCTTAGAGGAAAAGCAGTGCACTTCTAAAAGACAAAAAGTATCTTCACAGGGACTAGGACTAGCACAGTATTAGGTTATTCAAGGCCGATGCCTCATGCTCTCATTACAAAAGAAGCCTATCAGATGCACACTGTTAGTAATGCTAAAGCAGCAAAACCTGACAGAAACATCTGACATGAGATTAAAGGATTGATCATTAGCAGTATTTTCCTGTCATAAAACAATCCACATTACTATTTAAATTGCTGAATTGGTATGATTAGCTTCTTTCAGTTGTAAAAGGAAGTGAGCAGGGCCCAAGGACAAAAACTGCTTTGTACCTGCTTTTGTTTGTAACCATTCCTTGATCAGGTAATACCTCTTTTAAGGTCCTGTTTGGGCTAGCAAGGCAAGTGGGTTTAGAAGGGTTACTACCAGACAGTATTCAATATAGACACTCTTAGGCCACTGTGCTAAAGCAAGCTGTCCTTGGAAGAAAAACAAAACACCCTACCAATCTACACTTTTTTTAGCTTTATGGATCCAGCTACCAACATAGAACACAAAGAAAAAACATGGAAAGATATCCTTAACTCCAGATTAATCTCATTTTAAAAGACAAAAAAGAAAAAAAAAGAGAAATTCCAATGGAAGGTGTATCCTAAGAAGAGTCTCTGGAGAATAATGAAGAGGATAAGAAAGTAAGAGTGGGAAGTCTCCTTTTCACCGTATTTATTTTAAGTGTGGTAGCAAAGGATACCTAAGTAAAGAAACTTAGCTACACATAAGACAGAAGGTAAACTTTAGAACTTACACTATGAAGAAAGAAACTATTGGTCAGAAGAAACTGTAAGAACAGTTTCCTGTTTTGGTTTTATTGGCAGAGCTGGTTCACCATCTACTGCATTGGACATTGTCAAACAAAGCATGGAAACAGCTTCAGCACTATGATGTAGGGATGTTGGCAGACTGAATTATTTCTAAGGAGTATGTAAAAGGTAACTAAAAAAGCAAGCCTTTTTCTGGAACCTCTGTGTTTGCTATACTGAGTTATACTAAGATTAAAGATACAAAGATTGAAAATTAACAAAAACTGCTGATTCTCTTCTCTCCTAATCTATCAGAAATTAGCTATCATGTCTTGGAAAGGAGCTGGGGATAGGCTTGTAATTCCAACTAGGTTAATACTAATATTGAAGTAAAAACCATTATATGCCTTTTAGGAAATGTTAAATGCTTCATGTAGGTTGACTATTTTTGTTCACTGTGATGCCTTGTGATTTACCATGTATCATATATCCAACAGATCTTAGTACTGCTACATAAGAATGGGAAAGGATTCTTAACTTGTGGACTATGTGTGTCCCTTGGAACTTGGCAAAGAGCCACAGTTTTCAGCTCATCGTGTCCTGTCTTGTTGACTAGAGAAGCATGGCCAGAACGTGTGGTCGAAGTGTCAAAATAGCTCTATTTACTGGGAACTGTCCAGTCTATGAATGACACCCTGGATTACTCCACAATCATGAATATTCTTCTGTCACAAGACCAAGACCAAGAGACAAATGTGTGCTATTGGCTGGAAAATAAAACTAGGAGTTCTTTGGAAACAGTTTGCCTTATGGTTTCCTTTCACAGGTGGCAAAATAAGGGGCTGACTCTGAATACAGACAAAGATGAAGAGGGACAATTTCTTACTAGGAAATGTTAAAATAAAGGGATGTACTTTATATTGGGGGATTAGGAAACAATGCGAAAGACCATGACAGAAATAAGAAGGGGAAGGTGGCAGTCTTTTATTTGAGCACATCTACTTCTTGGCAAAAGCATTTGTGTCACCTTTTTTACAGATGGCAGCAGCTATGAAAAAAAACAAAGCCTCTGTTAGATTTTCACCGAGGTCCTCTGTTTTTTCTAAGTTCTATTCCTCAGTCAAGTGCCCATCTCCACATTCCAAGGATTGTTCTCTACTCATCAACCCCATGATCTAATACAGTACTGCAATCAGATGGTTGCACTCAAAGCCTCTTTACATCCTTTTGGAAATCACTGGTTCAGAAAGAGATTTATACATGCACAAAATTAAGCATCAGCACTGAACTCTGCTCAGACTTGCATTCCTGCTCCTATTGTTTTTTTTCAGTCCCAGTGTCTGCAGGCTCCATCCTCCTTCCCCTTTCAAAACTGCCGACACTTAGTGCACTGGTCGCTCTCCCACAACTAAAATGTCTTCTTCTCCTTGACAAATGCACATTTTTTTTTGCAAAATGAGACATTTTAGCTCACTTCTAAACAGCACCAGTTTCTAATTTTTACATATCAAAGATGGGCTAAAGATTGAGACTAGTAGTTTAGCATCCTACCTTTAAAACACTACAGCTTTTTTGGGGACTCCTTGATTGGCTGCTGTATTTCCACAGTCCTAGAATTTTGATCATATCAAGGATTGTATCCCACTTTTTTTAAAAGACTCAGTGGCTCAGTGTCCACAAAGGCTGAGCAGAATCCATAGAGGCATTCCTCTCCCTCAGTCATGTGGAAAGCCCAATTCAACACCATGGCACAGCTAAGAAAGGCTGCCAGAAGGGATTCTGGGCTCCAAGCGTAGGTGTGGCTGCTTTCTTTCTGAAGGTAATTACTGATTTTTCCTAAGTGAGTTGGTTACAGAAATCTGGAAGACTCAATACATCTCCCAGGAGAAATCTCTAAGACAGGGACTCTGGAAGTGGTGACCAGTGACAGTTGTCCTTGACACTGGTTCACTCCAAGAGTACATATTCCACAGCCCAGTAAGAGAGGGAAATACACACAGGAAAGGGTGTTTAATGGAAACTTCCACAGGGAAAGATGAGAGTGAGGAGCTCTGTTACCTGCTATATTCACAGATGGACTATCAGAGGCCATCCTAGAGTACTGATGCAGTACTTAACTGTGTGCAGGATTATGACCACCTTCCTAAAAAACTGACACACACAGGCATATCTTAATACCGGGAAAGAAAAGTTCTGTTCTTAATGCACATTATGAAATTCCCTACTCCTCTGCTCACACGCCATTTTCAGAGCCTGAGCTCTCCTTCCCTGATGTTTCCCCACAGTGGTAAATTCCCATTATTCTGTGCCTGGGATAGTAGATGCAACAATGATGTGGATTGTAAATATGCTCAGCTCAGCAAGAGTCTAAGCCAGGCAGAACTTTTAACAGCTATTACAATTTTTCATGGGGTTTTTATGGTTTGTCTTTCTTCATAGACCAATTCCTCCTGCTCTAGGCATCTGGCTATTTAGCTGTTTCCACTGGGCATCTTAACAACAGTGTGTTCAAGATGAGTTAAAAGGGACTTGAAAGGCAATGAATTCTAAGTTTTCTCCTAAACTCTGACATGTATTTTCCTAAAACTAAAGGTTTTTGTATATGAAACCTTTTGGAACAGGGTATTAACTGGTATTACCTGAATCCACCCTGTTTTAAGTCTCACTACCTGTCAATTAATGCAGTGCACAGGTGGCTTCAGGAAGCAAAAAGTAATTCCTAATATAGGCAGAAGGAGTAGTGGCAGCTTTCATTTGGACCTCTCAGTAAATCAGGCTTGTGTCTACATTTGTTGGACTTTTTTTTTCTGTATCATGTTTCCTACATTAAAGAACTAAAAAGTAAGCCATCTTTCAAGTCCCTCAGCTTCGCAGTAGACACAGTGTCTTTCTTCATCTCTTAAAATTCCAGAATGACTCCCATCTGTTGGAACTTAGCTGACTTCTACAGGAGCAAAGATATGCCCAGCTTGCAATTCAGCTAAGATAAACATCAAAGTGAGCACCTGTTGGACCCTTTAATGTGTCACATTTTCCTAGACCTCAACTTGAGGTGTTTTCTTACCTAAGAGCAACTAATTCCAGTAACCAGTGAATCCGAACTTGTTCAATGCCGCCATGTGGAACAGAAGAAATGTAGGCAAGGTTCAGCTCTTGATCTTTGCTCAGGTCAAACAGGTCAGCACGGCTGTGAGGTAAAGGAGGGCTTCAGGAAAACATGGACAGAAAAGAAACACATTGAAATATTAAATAACAGCTCCTCTGGGCATGCAAATATTCCTATGTTACATCCATACACCACCACATGTTCCTACATGGCATGAGGAGCACTGCCTAACATGAGATGAAAGCAAAATGGAATTGCAGATTATTTGAAGCCAACTGGCTATACATTGTTGTTTGGCAAAGTAGAACATGACCTGGGTGCACCTCAGTGCTACACTCAAAGGAAAACCTTGCCAGCAGTCACTGCTGCACAATGATCTTAGCTAAGAGTGGCCAGATGAAACCTAATAGTGGCAATTGCCTTGTCTCTGAGTAACCAATCATAAAGGAGTTCACTGTCTTTCAGGCTTTACAGTGGAAGTCAGACTTGATGACGTCTGCAGTAAGAAGAAGGTGGGCTTGACCTACCTACTGAAGTTCATGTAATGACATCAATTCTTTCTCTGCTGTGGAAGCTACTACACTTTTTAGAAGCAGAATTAGAGCCTTCACATTCTTCAGTCATGTTCAGCTAGCCCTTAAGCATTAGAAAGCAAAGGAATGTACAGTTTGAGGTTTCTATGCTTGATTCTGCAAGCAGTTTAACAGGCTCATGGCTGTACAGCAACAATCATATTGACTTTGATGTCTACTTATTCCACTGAAATTAACATTACACTGTGGCAAAATTCTGTCGTTCCTATCTCCACAGAAAAATACTGCAAGATGGAGATTTCAATTCCACCCTTCACAAGTCAGCAACTTAGAACGCTGCACAGTTCACTGGGTCTGGGCATCCTTAAGGACTTCAATTAAGCCTCCTCTTATCAAGCACATTCTGAATGATAAACCATTTGTATGACAAGAAGGATAAAACTGTCCCTCAAAGAAGGACAACACTGTCCCTTAGGCTTAGTAAAATACATCCATATGTATTTACACTGCAGCGAGAGATGACTTGTGCTCTAACTACACACTGTATACAAACTGTTAAAAACTGTTCTAGTCTATGCCTTGCCTGCTGTAGTCTGGCTCCTATGATGTTGGCCAGATTTTTGCTGACTGTTCCTCTGCTGGGAGGAGTAATTTATGTCATCCTTGTTTACTCCGTACCCATCCATATAATCATCCTGCCACCAAGGGCCCTACCCAATGAATCTGCTACTGTATAACCATCTGTCTACAAAGGGAGAAACACCTGACCCCACCTGGACAAGAACTTGACACAACTGAGACTGCCTATCTATTACCCCATGTCCTGCATCCTTACCTGAACGTTCAAGTCTTTCCACAAACCACTTCGTAACGCCTATTACAAATCAGCCGATATATGTGAGCCCCTCTCTGCAGTTTCACCAGCATACAAGGCACTTGAAAACCATCTCCATAAAATAGATTCAAGTCATTCAAGTGATATTGAGAAATTACCAGCTACACTCTTACTAAAAATGTATCAGCCATTTGGGTTTTTTTAATTGTGCCAGTGAATAAGGACAATGGTAACAATCAGATCTGATAGAGTGCTTTACTATTACTCTGAAATTCAAACTGGCTTCCATTCAACAGTGGCAAAGACAATTATTTTTCCTTAGTCCACACTGAATAAATACTCTGAAATTCACACCTTCTAAGAGAAATCTTACAGAAACCATGACGGGATACAAAAGAAAGCTGACAGAACAGTGGGTTTTGTTAGTGGTGCTATCAGTATCCATCCTTTCCTGTTCTGAGTGTAAAGTGCCCATCCAAGAGAACTTCAAGCCTTGTCCCAGCTTTTCTCAGCTGCTGATCCACAGCTGGGCACTTGCCCAGAAAAGAAGCTTTAGCAGCTGGAACTCAGTTGTGCCACTGCATGAGCTTTCAAGGGATTTTCAGAAATACTAGTGATGGCCAGGTGTTGTAAAAGAGTAACCGCTGACCCATGGATAGCCTCTGCTTCTGCTCCTGTTCCTCCGTCTTTTCTTTACCCGTCTTTCATGTTTGCAGCTTTCCAAAGTTTGTCACACAATTAAAACTAGGACTGCTTCATAGGCTGCAGTTTAAATGGGCTGAACTCTTTTTATGGACTTTATTTAAGGCAGATTTTCATTAATGCTTCTTAATATTGCAAAAAAAATTTAAAACAAACAAGACAAAAAACCCAAAGAAAAACACAAACAAAAAAACCCCAAAAACAAACCTGAAAGCCCAAACATTTCTCTTCATCAGAATGTATTTTAGATCCTGTTCTGTTCCCCACCTCCCCCCCAAGAAAACGAAAGAAAAATCTTGCAAGTTTTTTTTTAGGGACTTTTATGCATTATACAAAAAAAGTGGACACATTCCTTTTTCCAAAGCACACGCTCATTCCATCCCTATTGCAATTCTTTTCCATGTAAGTGTTATTTAACCCACTGTATGCCTAAATGAAGGAGATCATAATCACTTTAAAGTAAGATACAAGCATGGCAGTGGAATATACTATCTCTTGCTTTCATGCCTGCTAAAAGCTTTCAGTAGTCTCACAAAACTTAAAGGCTCTTCCAACCCCAGTTAGCTGAGCAAGACCAGGCTTTCTTCAGGAAGGCATGACCAGAATACAGGGATTTCTGCATGGTCACTGCCTTCCCTCAAACTTGGGTCAACTTGACCCACTGGCTGCATCCGGTGGTGCATCTGGAAAACGTCTGTCAAGAAGAACAAATTCCTAAAACTATCCGTCTTTTGTTTGGTAGTGCTAGAACTATCAGAACTTTTTCCTGGGGCCCTTTAGGGGCCTTGGCAATGGAAACACTGAAAAGTACAGGGAAATTAGTTTTGAGTATGAACATATGTACTGTGCTGGGAAAGAAGATGGACTTTGTATGTTCGAAGGGGCAAGGAAGCAAGCCAGAGAAGGGGAAGGAATGTCGACTAGGCCTATTTTGGCCAGTTCATATCAACTGACCACATCCCACATCCCACCCTACACTGTGGAGCTGGTCCAACACCAGGCTAAGCAGCAAGGGGCAGCCGGGGTTCTCTGATCCCATAGCAGCAAGCCCGGGAAAGCCTCGGTTCCTCCGGGAAGGCAGCGCCCGCACGCCCGGGGGATCGCGAGGGCGGGACGCAGCCGAGGCGAGGGCCGAAGAGCCTCTGCCCAGCGGCTGGGGGCCCGGGACCGGGCGGTGCGCGCTTAC